AGCTGATAACATGGTATTGCAGCACGGAAATTTGCTAAGAATACAGCATAAACGCTCTCCCAAAAAAAAAAAATTAAAATTAAACAGCATTTATAAAAAATCAAAATTTATTTATAAAATACATTTATAAAAGTATCAGAAACACATCGAATATGTAGGAACAAATTTGATGAAAAAAATTATGCTAAAATATTGCTTAGAAAAACTAAAGAATACCTAAATAAACATTGAGATACATTATGTGCATAGATCGGAAGTCTCAATATTGCAGATGTCAGTTCTCCCTAACGTGATCTATAGATTTGATGCGATCCAATCAAGATTCCACCGAGGTCTTTCTGTAGAAATCTACAAGCTGATTCTAAAATTTACAGGAAAATTCAAAAGACAGAGACCAGTCAAGGCCATCTTGAGGAGGAAAGAGCGTTAGAGAACTTACACTATCGCATTTGAAAACTTATTCCAAAACTGCAATAATAAGATGATACTTCAGTGTGGTATTGGCAGAAGGGCATGTGAATTGATCGATGGGACACAAGAGAGAATCAGAATTCATTCTGGAGAGTCTATTTTTGACAAAAATGCCAAAGCAATTCAACGGGAGAAAGGCAGTTCTTTTCAGTAACAGGGCTGGGTTGCCTGGAACATCCATATGAGAGCAAACGGACCTTGACCCCTTCACATGATGCGCAAAAATTAGTTCAGGATGGATGAGAGACCAAACTGTGAAAGTCAAAACCACAAAGCTTCAAGGACACACAGGAGAACATCATTATGACCTTGTGGTAGGCAAGATGCCAAAAGCACCAGCCACAAGAGGAGCAGCTGATAAGTCAGACTTCTGGAAACACTCCTCCTCTTCAAAAGGCATCACTAAAAAAGCGAAAAGGCAAACCACAGACCAGGAGAAAATATTCCCCAAACTCACACTTGACAAATATGCAGACTATATAAAAACCACACAAATACATAAAAAAAGACAGACAACCTAATTTAGAAATGGGTGAAAAATGTAAACAAGTACTTCACAAAGAAGAGATCTGAAGGGCTCATAAAAATAAGGCAGAGTATCCGCAGGACAAGCCATCAGGGAAATAAAATTAAAGCCACAATGAGACAGCATGACATACCCACCAGGATGGCTGAAATATGAGATCTTATAGTACTGAGCGCTGGCGAGGACATGCGGCAGGCAGAACTCTCACGCGCGGCTAGCGGCATAAACATCCCATCCCCTGGGAAAACTGGCAGTTTCCTCTACAGCAAAGTATAAGCACCCCCATGACCCACATGCCACGCCTGGCACAAAACCAGGAGAAATGAGTGCACACGTCCACACCAGGATGGAACATCGAGCAGCTCTATTTAGGACAGTTTGAACGGGGAGCAACCCAATCCCCTGTCTACAGCATGCTGGAGTGATGTGGCACGCCTGGGACACGGACACCACCCAGCAAGGGCAGCACACTTGGCTGGCACTGAGTGCATCTGCCCCTCAGGTGAGAGGTCGACACTGAGGTACCTGCGTGCGAGCCTGGCAGAGAAGGCGATCTATGACGATTTAAGGCACAGAGTGGTTATCTCCACGGGCCAGAGTGGGGTGGGAAGGGGCACCTGTCCGGACCTGGGTGGTGGTTGTGCCGGTTAACACCCAAGCTGTGTCTCCTCAAGATCTGCCCCAAGTAAGTCATGCCTCAGAACAGAGTGTAAGAGAGACCCTACTTACTATGGCACTGAAGCCAGCAAACACCCGGGGAAAAGCTAATGAGAGGCGTGCCAGACCTCTACCCTAAAAACCAGAAACACAGCTGAGATAAAATCAAGGGAGCCCTAATGAAATGGAGCAGACCACGTCAGGGTCTCAAGGTCTCGATATACACAAGGCGGCAGTTCTCTCAAGGCCATCTGCAGGTTCAAGGTGATCCCAGGCAAAACCCCAGCAGTGTTTTCTTTTTTTTTCCCAAGTTGACAGGCTGATCCTGAAACATGTGTGGAAATGCAAAGGGCCATGAAGAGCTGCCCGTGCAGAATGTACTTCCCGCCCCGCTGGCCGGGGCTGGCCAGGTGACCTGCTGTCACCCACAGACACTTTGCAGCAAAGGCCTTGAGTCCACTGGCAGGGCTGGCAGGCTCCCGTGGAACAAACCTGCCCTGGGCAGCCACTGGCTCGAGGATGAGGGGTCACATGGAGCTGGCCTGCACCCACCCGGTAGCCTGGAAGCAAGTGCAGCTAATCCTGCTGAAGGCTCCAGCCTCGTGACCCAGAAACGCCTGCTGAAGCCCCAGTACCAGAGGCCTTTGCTCTGCAGCAGAAACCTGACTCAAACACAGACAGCGGCACCCAGAACAGAGAGAAACCTGAAAGAGGTGTTGACTTCAGAACCCGCTGGAGGTGGCGAGGAAATGTTAGAGCTCTGGGAAAAAGGAGACCTGAGCAAGGAGGGGTGCAGCTGTGCCGGTGTGACGCAGAAGCAGGAGATCCACACGTCACCCATGGTGCCCAGTATCACTCGTGCTGTCACTCGTGGTCCTGGGCAAGAAGGAATGTGCAGAATGGAGACGAGAAGGGCTGGTTCATTTGGATAGAAGGTTAACAAGACCTTTCCCCTTCCGCATGAGAACTTGACACGAGCTTGATCCTCTCACTCTCCCCCACTGGTAACTCGATCAAGGTCAACGTGAACTCTGTCGGTAGGCAACATCGATTGCTTACAGCAAACATGACCCGTGGCAGGGAGGCTGTGTGGGGACTGGGGGAGTTATAAATGCCCCGTGCCGTGTGGGGGTGCCACACCAAGGGCCTTCCTTGAGGGACCCTCGAAACTGGGCATGCGCTTGAGGGGACCTGGACGCCTCGTCTGTGGCACTGCTGCAGGAGGAACATTAGCTCCTACGGGGCAGGAGGCTCCCGTGCCCAGTGGAGTTCCACCTCCTCGACCTGAGTTGGCACCAGGGAGATAACGGCACCCAGCGAGGCCGGCCGTGCGCACAGCTGTGAGGACCCCTCCGTGCGAGGAAGGCCCATGTTGCCGTGCTGCCAGGCTGTGCTCCTGTCCAGCATCCTTCTTGGCGAACCGAGGCCCAGTGTTGCCTGTGGAAGTACCGTGAGTCAAAATGTTTAGTGGAACCTTAAGAAGAACCTGAGCATGTTGGGAATATGGTACCAGGGGAAAGAGGCAAGCTCAGCAGAGAGCAGCAGGACTGAGGCGAGTATGGAGAAACACCAGAACTCACAGAGCCAAACCTTAGCACGTACTTATCTCAATCCAGTGACATGAAGTTGAGACACACCTGCAGTCAGAAAGGTCTACAAGGGCCCGGCCTCCTGACCAGGCCAAGGGCTGGCTGCCTTCCTCTGTCAGGAGCTTGGACAGGACTGACTTGGTGCCTTCAGCTGGACAAGAAGGCTCCTAGGAAGAGGCTGTGGATTTTGTCCCAGAGAAGCCTGACACTCCCAGAACAGGTAGCGCTGTCTTGAAAACCATCGTGGGAGTAGATTTTGGTACACAGAGTAGGTTGGAATGAAACACATTTTAAAATAATCTTTTAGAAGAGTTATACCGGCAGAAGGACTAGCAGGCTGGAGAGCAACGGTGCCTCTTTGCCTTGTAAAGACCTTTTAATTTTTATTTATTTGTTTTTTTCGTGGATCTTGACAACTGGATTCTACAAGTTGTATGGAAGTACAGGGCTGAATGGCACAGCCATTTCCAAGGAAGAGAAACCACACTGTGGGTCTTGCCTGAGCAGCATGAAGATGTCCATGGTGATGTGATGGAGACACTGTGGATCGGCCCAGGACAGTGATGGAGACACCGTGGATCGGTCCAGGACAGTGATGGAGACACTGTGGATCGGCCCAGGACAGTGATGGAGACACTGTGGATCAGCCCAGGACAGTGATGGAGACACTGTGGATCAGCCCAGGACAGTGATGGAGACACTGTGGATCGGCCCAGGACAGTGATGGAGACACTGTGGATCGGCCCAGGACAGTGATGGAGACACTGTGGATCGGCCCAGGACAGTGATGGAGACACTGTGGATCGGCCCAGGACAGTGATGGAGACACTGTGGATCGGCCCAGGACAGTGATGGAGACACTGTGGATCAGTCCAGGACGGTGATGGAGACACCGTGGATCAGTCCAGGACGGTGATGGAGACACCGTGGATCGGCCCAGGACAGTGATGGAGACACCGTGGATCAGCCCAGGACAGTGATGGAGACACCGTGGATCAGTCCAGGACAGTGATGGAGACACCGTGGATCAGTCCAGGACAGTGATGGAGACACTGTGGATCAGCCCAGGGTAGTGACGGAGACACCGTGGATCGGTCCAGGACGGTGATGGAGACACTGTGGATCGGCCCAGGACAGTGATGGAGACACTGTGGATCAGCCCAGGGTAGTGATGGAGACACCGTGGATCGGTCCAGGACGGTGATGGAGACATTGTGGATCAGCCCAGGGTAGTGATAGAGACATTGTGGCCCAGGGCTGATGACTAGACCAACAGCAGACCAGAGCATCCAGAGAGACTGCTATGTGACAGTGGTGGCCTGCAGATGAGTGGGGCAGGCACTTTCTATAAGGGGCCTGTTGGGTACCCATGTGTCACACCACATGTCAAATCCATTCCAGGATTCAAGATTGAAACCTAAGAAAAACAACAATGCTTCCAGAAGATGCCATTGGAGATTATCTTCATGACCTCAGGGTGAGGACACAGCTGCAAAAAGCAGTAACCATAGACAAAAAGGTTGACCAATTTGAGTTTATGAAAATTAAGGTGGATTTACATCAAAAGAAACCATAAAGGAGTGAAAAGACAAATCACAGACTGGGAGAGAGTATTTGCAACACAATCAACTGAAAGTGGAGAAGAATCCAGAATAGATGTCACTCCTGCAAATCAAAGAGAAAGAGACCATGAGGCTGAAGAAGCCTGGACAGAAGATTTGAGAGGACTTTTCAGGAGCAGAAACCCAAACGGCCAGTCACACCGCAAAAGATGCCATTTTATTGGGAAGGACAAAAATGCAAGCAAGCACCACCGTCCCTCTCCAGAGGCAAACGTGAGACCTCTGTCAAGGCCGGGCGTTGGCAACAACGGGAGCAGTGGCCATGCAGGTGACCGTGGTCAAGGTGCACTCCTCCGGCCACACGCGCAGCACCCTGCGTACGGGGTTCAGCAGTCGTCCCCCAGCTCACGTCCACTCAGAATCTGTGAATGTGACCTCATTTAGAAATAGGGTCTTCACAGATGCATCAAGTTAAGATGAGGTCACACTGGAGGCGGGCGGGCCCCAATCCAATAGCTGGTGTCCTTAGAAGAGGGAAATTTGGGGCCGGCCTGGTGGCGTAGCAGTTAAGTTCGCCATCTCTGCTTTGGTGGCCCAGGGTTCACAGGTTCAGATCCCAGATGCGGATCTAGACACTGCTCATCGGGCCAAACTGTGGCAGCGTCCCACATACAAAACAGAGGAAGACTAGCACAGATGTTACCTCAGCGACAATCTTCCTCACCAAAAAAAAAAAAAAAAAAAGGAAATTTGGACACAGAGACACACAGAGAGAACACCATGTGAAGACAGGGCAGAGGTGGAGCAATGCATCCACAAACCAAGGAACACAAGGACTGCCAGCAGCCGTCAGAAGCTGGAAGAGACAAGGAAGGATTCTTTCCTACAGCCTCTGAGAGAGCATGGCCCTGCCAATACCCGGACTTTGGACTTCTGGCCTCTAGACGTGAGAGAATACATTTCAGTTGTTTAAACCACCAAGTTGGTGATACTTTGTTACAGCAGCCAATACACCTAATCAAGCTGAAGTGTGCATACCCCATCGATGTTTCACTCCTAGGAAGATGTCTGCAGAAAGCTGCACAGAATATTAGGAAAAAGGAAACATTGTTTCATAAAAGCAAAAAGTCTGGAAATTCCCCACACAGGCAAGCTGTTAAGCCATAGGGCTGACAGGTGAGGAGGGTGGGCAGGACGGGAGCTCGCAATTCTGAGGGGCAATCCATGCATGCGATGGTCCAACAAACGTCCACTGAACCCCTGCTGTGTCCCAGGTGCCGTGATGCAGTGGCGAAAATAGCAGTAAGAACCCTGCCCTTAGGAACTCCCCATCTAGGGCAGGCAGACAGATGGGCAGAGAGGATATTGGTGCCAAGGAGAGGGGGCGGAGGGAACAGCAGGTACAGATTTTCGGGTGTGTCTAGGGAGGTGAGTACGTGCACTGGGGCAGAGCAAGGCAGAGGCGTGGGCCTGGCCTGTGTCTATTCATCACACACACTCTCTGGGCCTCTGCTGGGGGCCAGACACCGTTGGAAGCTGCACTGGGGTGTAGGTCGACGTGGCCTGGCCACCCCCAGAGACTCGGGGCTGCCCCACACCTGTCTATCTGTGCTCCAAGCCCCGGGCCAGGACAGGTTCCCAGGCCACGTATGGTCAGCTCCATCAGGAACTTGAGAAAACTGAATGCAGGAGCCCAGTGATTGCCGGCCACGGCCCACGTATGGCACTTGGCGCTGTTCAAATCTCGAACTCAATCCCCCATTTGCCATGAGGGAGCAAGACAAAGGCCATCACCCACCTGGTCCTGAGGAGGGGACCCCGGTGCTCAGCCGGTCCCTGGAACTGCTGCACCAGGATCCCCACTATCCTGACAACCTGGCCGGCCGAGGACAGGGACAGGATGCCCCCAACCCTGCCCAGGCTCAGGCTGGCACTCGCTCTCTGCCCTGACCAGAGGCCCAGAGGACGTGGAGCAGGCAGCCCCAGGCAGACAGACACTGGGACAGGTGCTGTTACCTGGTGGTCTGGGCGGCTGAGCCACAGTGCCCTCCACCGTCTTCACGCTCGGAAGCACGGGCAGCAGTGGGTGCACATCTAATGAGTCTGAGTCCGAGGGTGGGTTGGACTCAGCTTTGGAAAGACCGGTTTTCAGGGCCTTACTGTCTGCGTGTTGAAAATGACAGGAGGGAAATTCTACCCTGCCGCCAGACTCGGCGTGGACGGACTGGACGGTATGGCTTCTCTGGGCCGGCCTCTTTAAGGGTGCAGGCAAGGTGCAAGGAAGTACCTTTTCATTTCTAAGTTTCAAGTCCTGCTGGGGGGCCGTCCGTGGGCGTCCTGGTGCCGGGTCTGGCGTGGCCGAGGGGCACCTCACTGCTAGGGGCTGACTGTCCGAGAGTGAAGATGAGCAACTGAAGCTGGAAATGGGCGGCATTTGCTTCCTGGCTTTTCTCACACTGACGCCTTCCACGCAGAGGTCAGAGGCGTGGAATGGTGGCAGCTCCACCGCAGGCTGGGGAGACAGGGGGAGGTTAGGGGTGCCAGGGCGGCTGCTGCCACGGACCTGCATTCCCCTTTCCCAGTCTGCTGGCTAGGAGTAAGGTCTCAAAGATAAGCATCAGCCACACTTCCCATGGCTGGGCTGCCCATCGGGCCCCTCCTCCAAGGAGGCCCGGGCACAGGGTCCCACCCACGAGCCAGAGTTGGGGGCACAGCGCCACCCAGTCCTGTCACCGGGCCTGCAAGAAGGAAGGCCCCTGGGGGAGCAGGCCCCTGGAAAGACCCCGAAGGAGGATGTGGTTTTCACCAGCGGAGAGGAGGAAGGACACTGCAGGTCTGGAAAGGAACAGCCCATAAGCGCCTGGAGGCAGTGGACATCCTGCCAGCCCAGGCCAGGGGGACCCCTGCCCGGTGGCCACAGAGTTGGGGCTGGCCAGGGACAAAAGGGAGGAAGGCTGGAGGCAAGGGCCGGGTGAGATCTCCAGGGCCACCAGAGCTACCCGCTCATGTGCGGACACGGCTGCGCCCAAGGGTGGGAGGGGGCAGGCACCAGGTCCGTGGTCCTCCTCGCCAGGCTGGGCTGGGGGCTCGGCCTGGCCCTCGCCACAAGAACAGCAGCGTCTGCAGCCCTCACCTGTCTCCACAGCAGCTCGAAGTTGCCAGTGTCGCAGCTGCGGTCAGCCTTGCGGTCCACCACCACCTTGATGGTGTCCTCCTGCACCTGCGCGCACAGCTGCGCCGTGACCGGCGTGGACGCGTGCATCGTGGGGCTGGAGTTGATCTCGATCAGCCAGGGCCGGAAGTCGCGCCCCAGCACGAAGTCAGCACCGTAGAGCTCGAAGCTGTTCTTGCGCGGCTCGACGCGGGCCTGCGCCACCCTCATGGCGTGCACCACGGCGCGCTTCATGGCCGGGTACACCACACTGCCCCACACAGCACTGCGGCCCCGCCGGCGAAGGTACTCCTGGAAGCGGGTGCTGGTCCACATGTTGTGGCCGGGCAGCTGCGGGCTGCGCTCCTTGTCGTTCTGCAGGTGCTTCTGGATGGAGTTGTTGCACAGGTGGATGGCGCTGTGACGCAAGGCCGCCGTCAGGCCAGCGCCCGGCTGGACGCCGCGCCCACCAGCCCACGTGCCCCCAAGACCCCGCCCTGGGACCCACAATCGCGTCCATAGACCCCTTCCCCACGGACCCCGACGCCCCCGCTGACCACCTCGAAACCTCCACACTCCCCAGCGACCCTGCCCCCTGGCGCTGGGCGGCTGCAGGAGGGGCTCTGGCAGCTTGCCACCCAGAGGCAGCCTCTACAGCCTTCTGTCCAGCCTGGGGGGCACCATGGACTGACTGTAGGGCGCGGGGAGCAGAAGCCCCCCAGCCTGGGGCCACCCTCCTGGGCCTCAGTTTCCCCATCTGCACGTGACAGTAGAGATGGGGCCCTTAAAGAGATGGTCTGGTGAGACAAGATGAGAAAGATTCACTGCAAAGTTTTAATTAATTTATACTCTTGCCTTTTTCTAAACAGGATTTAAAACGAACAAAGTCTAGAAGGAGGTTATCAAATACTATGGATCCTGTCAAGGTCAGTTTCACTTAATCCTGCCACAAGGCCTGGGGGTTTTCCATCTTGGGCGGGGGGTGAGACCCGCCCCTGTGATCTGGGTGACTTATACTTCCATGAGACAGATAAGAAAACAGGATAAGGCACCAGGAGCATTTTGGAAAGGAGAACAGCGGTATTAGTGGGCCCACAGGGCGCACACTGCATCTCCTGGTTCTTTCTGTCGGTACACACCAGGCTGGGCCACGCCTGTTCAGAAACGATTTCAGGGAATCTCCCGTCAGCCTGGGGTGAGGGCTGTGGTCCCAGATGGAGAAACGGGGCTCAGAGAGGGTGAGACATCCACCAGGCACACCCTCACAGCCATGGGGCCAGGCAGGCTCGGGTGGGAGGGCTGCAAGGGGCTCCATGGACTTCTCAGTGCCCAGGAGGCTCCTTTTGCACAGTGAGCTCCGGGACCCCTCCTCCAGGCCCTCATGGCCTGGTAGGGACAAATTTGCTCCTTGAGCTGCCTGCTAGGACCACTTCTCCCCAGCTGTCTGCTCCTGCTAGGTGTGACGCCAGGTGTAGCCAAACCCCCTAGCCTGGGGGCACAGGTAACCTCCCCAGGGTGTCTTTGAGCCCTCTGGGGACTCTCACTGATGCCCCTGCAAAGCCAGGTGCCCTAGCCTGTGCTGCTCCCTCCATGTGCCAAGTGGACCCCGAGGGAGCAGGACAGCACAGTGGGTGGCGTGTGCACACCCAGGCCCAGCCTCGGTGGGTCAGCCTGTGAACATGGCCGGCCGCCCGGCCTCCTGCTAGAGGGGGCAGTGGCACCCACCACGAAGGGCGGCTCTGGGCCTGTCGCTGAGATGTGTTTTGCCTGGGACAGGCCTGGCGCTTCATGGGCACATGGCAGAGGGGCTTTTAGAATTTTCTGGAGAAGACACACATTGTGACAGTGCAGAGCCCTGGCTTTGAAGGGCATTGGGCTTGGGCCTGTCCCTCAGGGAAGGAGGTCATTGAACCTCCCTGAGCCTCGGTTTCCCCATCTGTGCCTCACGTGGTGATGGGCGACAACAGATACAGACCCGTGTCCCACCCATGCATGCAGGACGGACCCTCCTGCTCCAGGTGCTGGTGGGAGCATGCTAGGCACCCTCGTGCCCAATGGCACCAAGTTGACCCTGCTACTGACCTGTCCAGATTGTCCAGGGAGAAGCGCTGTGTTGAAAACCGCAGGTAGCTCTCCTTGTAGAACCAGATGGTCAGGGGGTTCCAGTCGGTGACCAGGAACCACTGCCTGATGTCGAACTTGGTGTCGTAGATGAGCAGTGGCGTCTCGATGTACTTCTGCACCACCCACTTGTTGTCCTTGGTGGGGAGGTGGTCTGCAGCCACCAGCTCCAGGATTTCCTCCACGCGGCTCATGCACACTATATCTGCAAGAGGCCACTGCTCAGCTCCAGAGCACAGCACACCCAGTCGAGGTTCAGCCCCGGGGGCCAACGCGGCCTGGGTCCAGGGCCTGGCAGGAAAGGCTTCGTCCTCAGGATGGAGGCTGCAGCCAGTGCAGCCCCCCAGGCTCTCAACCATGAGGCCCACCCCCGGGACTCCAGACAGGACACAAGAATGGGAGGGAGAAGGGTGAGGACAGAGGCAGTTTTAAAAGTCAGCCAGTGAGCAGTGGCTGAGCCCCAGTGCTGGGTGTGGGGTGAACAGGGGAGCAGGGCTGGCTCCGCAGGCTGCAGGAAAACCAGCAGGCCAGGGGGGTGGGGTGTCCACAGGCTGCAAGGGGCAGACACCCAGGGACCCCAGGGTCCAGTGAGGCCTCACAGCGAAGGGTGACGGGACGAACGGGGCGAGCCAGGGGAAGGGTGGGGCTGGGCACACTCAGGTTCACCCATGTCTGGTGCACCTCCACTTTGCAGGAGGATTTACAGCTTCTCATCCTCAACCCTCAAAGTTAGGCCACATGACTAGTGGTGACCAGTGACATCTGAGCAGAAGTGACGTGCATCTCTCTGCGCTGTAGCATTTAATGTCACTGACAGACCCTCCAGCCCTCTCTTTCTCTGCCATGACAGCCCTGAAGCCTGAAGGAGCGGTGTTACAAGATGGTGGGGGGGCTTTGATGGGCAGAGTGCCCCCATCTTCCTGTGCCAACCCACAATGGACAACAAGCATGAGTTGAGATGAACTGGTCTTAGAGCCACTGAGCCTTGGGGGATGTTTGTTACACAGCACAATCTGGCCCATCCTGACAGATACAGGCGTGCAGGCGGACACCATCTGCAGAGGCCCAGAGGCACAAGGCATCACAAGAAACGAGGTGAGCTTTCACCACAAAAATACCAGACTAGTTTCTCCAGTTATGGTCAGTTGAGACCTTACCATCCTAAAATGAAAGTCTAGGATAAAGCAACAGGCCACTGAAGTTATCCTGGGCCAACAGCAGGGACGGGCACCGAGGCAGGGGCACGGCCAGTGACTGGGCAGAAAGTGGTGTATTGCATTTGGTTTTGAACTAGTGGGTTTGAGGTGTCTGTGGAGCATCCCTGGGGATGCAGGTGTCTGCAGTGGGAGAAGGGCTGGCCTGATGGACAAGAGGAGGGAGCTGCCAGCAGATGGATGCTGCCGTCAAGAGGAGCGGGCTGGGAACAGAGCCCAAGGAGGAGCCCTGGCCCCAGCTGGGAGGACAGACACTCAGAGGAGGGCAGGCAGAAGCCCAGGAAAGAGAATGTTTCAGGATGGAAGATGTTTAGGACTGAATGCAGTAACATCACAAATTAATAAAGATTTTTTTAATCACATAAAAATTAACAACTTATGAATTTAGAACAACAACAAAAAAACTCTTCAAATAACTCCAGAGGCAAATAGACTAGCCTAACAAAAAAAGAAGCCTATTGAGTTGCTCAGGAAAATGAGAACATTGTAGAACTTCAACAAGAGGGTGCAGCCAAGGCCATATTCGGAGGAAATTTCATAGCATTAAAGCTTGAATTGTTGCACAAGAGAGATTGGAAATAAATAAGCTGAGCATTTAAGTCAGAGCCAAGGGAGAAAAATCCCTCATAGGAAAATGGAAGAAAGGCAACCAAAAGTTCTTTGGAAGTGCGAATAAGATTCGAAACACCCTGAAATCGTGTTTTTAAAAAGCACACGTAGAATCCACCCTTACAAATAAAAGGAGCACAGGGCTGCTGCTGGGACAGAGGAAGCTGGGGCAGAAAACCTGAAATGCTGGCAAAGACGGACAAAACGCACACGGTGCCAAGGATGTGCCTCTAAGAGAGGAGCCGGGTGCTTCCAGGCAAGTTCGTAGTATATCTGAGGAGCAGCAGTTCCATTGTTCCAACAAGTCCATTGCTGCTTGAGATGGAGGCCCTCACTTGGTTTTAGCGGCTAGCATAAGCCTGTCACCAAGATCGATGGAGGTAACATAAAAAACGAAAACTATAGACCAGTTTAACTTAGGGATACAGATGGGAACATCCTAATGAATCAGCAAACCTCAGACATAAAGCGTGAAGACCAGGGTTGTCGAGATGCCCGTGCCCTGGGACCAGGGCCACCGGGTGCCTGCGAGTCCCGTGTGTGGGCTCTGCTCCCCCAGCTGGCCGTCCCCACCCGCCTGCAGCCTCGGGACTCACCTCGGCCCCGGGACTTGGCTGCAGGCTTTATGATCCAGATGTTCCGAAGCCCGTCGATCTCTATTTGAGGGTTCACGGACGTGAGTCTATTCAGCAGAGCCTGGCACTGCGAAAAGTGACTTCTTGAATTGGAGATGAAAGCATCGCCTCTACAAAGCAAGATCCAGAGAGTGCGTGAGGTTCCCAGGGCCATGCGCGGGTGCCGCCGACCAGGTGCCAGGCCATGGCCCACCTGGCACAAAAGGTGAGAGGCGGGCCTAGAGCTTCCTCTTGCCACCCGAGGGGCGCCTGGGGATGTGCAATTGCCAGGCTGCTCCTGGCTGGGGCCCTGTGGAGACACGGGGACCCCGACTGTGGGTCTAGACTGCATGTACACCCCAGGAGCACCGAGCCCAGGGCCCAGGAAAAGCTGCAGGGAGACAAAGGCGGGGTTCCTGTGCCGGGGGCCCCTCATCAGGGTGGCCTCGCAGGCCCATGTGTCTGGTGGTTGGTGGCACCTGGGATGACATCTGCCTGCGGGAGGTGGTGATGGGAAAGCCACCTGCCCATGCTGGTGGCGCCCCGTGTCCTACAGCTACCAAGGGCTGGATGCCAGCTTAACATCCCACAGACTTGAATGTCAGTCAGACCTGCTGGTGGCCACACAGTCATGGTGGCAATGGGGCCAGCTCAGGAAGTCACCATAATTTAAGGGACTAAATGAAGGGCTGACAGTAGAACCGTTTGAGAGAATTTAGAGCTCAGCAGTGCATTTTTGAAGCGTGCAAGGGGGACGCTTCCCCTGGGGCCGCATTGGACCCCCCACATACAGGTGGACTGCAGCAGAGGGTGGGCTGCACTGAGCTGCAAGGTGATGGCTGGGAGGTGGGGGCAAAGCCTTTGGGGACACGTACGTCTATGTACTATATTCTATTCACACATGCTGAGGAAGAGAGGACCACATGGGAGGGAAAAGTGAGGAGTGGGGGTGTCCCTGATGATGTGGGAGAGCCCCCCCAAACTGTGGAGCTGTGCGTGAGGGCATGAGAAAGCAAGAGCCTCGGGGTGGCACAGGCCCTTCCCTGGCACAGGGAACATGGGTGACACGTCAGAGAGGGCCTTGCCCCCGGTTCTAAGTGGACCTGCTGAAGGCGAGCCCCCAGGCCTGCCAGGCCCTCCTCTGCAGCACACATGCCCTATCTGACCCCAAGATGACAGGAGGACGTGGTGGAAACAGGCGCAAGTCCCTGTGTGCTCTGTGACAGTCCTGTCTGGCTGCAGAGGCTGGCCCTGGAGACCGTGGTGAACTGAGGCAGGTCGCCAAGAGTGTCTGCCGTGCTGGTCAGGATCACAGCTGCCCAGGAGACCAGCGGATGTGACACAAACACTCTCTCGACTTTGGCTCAGGAAGAAGACAAGCAGTTAGTCCTCGCTTGGGAAGGAATCCCCGTGGTCTTTCCCCAAAGCATCCCAGCCCTGCCTCAAAGGGTCGCAGTCCATGGGGGGCTTGTGCATCATGGTAATAACATCCTCGCCCCCCTTGGAGGAGAGGATGGGAGGACGGAGGAGCTGTTCACCAGCCCAGTTTCAGGTCTGGAGTTTCAGGTCCCAGACACAACCATGATCATCAGACAACAGGCACCGCCCCCCAGATGCTGAGCACAAGAGAGGGATACAGCACCTGCCTTTCTGGTCCTGACGACGCGCACACCACACTCGGGGACCCCGTGTGCCCCAACAAGTAAGAGCACAGACTGAACTAACAGCACTAAGGCACTCAGCAAGCTCGCAGGTGCCACCGTGGCCACAGGTCTACTGCCGCCACCTCGTGGTCAATCCCGGGACTGTCTTTTCTGCGGAGGTCTAAGAAAACAGGCAGGGGCATAGTGCCTCACTCAGAGAAAAATGTAAAGTGTGGCAACTTTTACATGTGTACTCTTGTGCAATTGCCACCCAGATCGAGATACAAACACTTGCAGCCCCTCAAAAGATTTGCCTGTGTTCCATCCCAGGCCCCCTCTGCCCTCTGCCCTCCTGTCTGTGCAGACTCGGCTGCTTGAACTGCACGTGGGTGGACTCTCACAATGCGTACTCGTGTGTCTGGTCTCTTTCACTCAACAGAACGACTGAGAGATGCATCCGGGCATTGCCTGGACCAGCAGCTCCTTCTGTCACATCGTTGGAAATTTCTAGATTTGGGATATTACGAATGAAGTCTTTCTGAGGACATAACGTTTTCATTTCTTTTGGATAAAGACCCTAGCTGCACCGTAGGGTATGTAGACACCTAAATTTATAAGAAACTGCCACAGGCTTTCTGACCGGGTCATCTAGTCTACACTCCACCCAGCAGTGCATCGAAGCCCCAGCTACTCCAGGATTGGCAGCACTTGGTATTTGGTTTTTGGTTCATTCTGGGGGGTTTGCAGTGGTATCTCCGTGTGGTCTGAATTTGCATCCTCTGATGGTGAGCATCTACTCACCCGCTTGTTGGTCATGTGGCTGCTTCTTTCGTCAAGTGTCTGCTCAAGGCTTTTGGTTCTTGCACTTGTTTCTCCTTTCCTACTGATCTACAGGAGTTCTTTACGTATTCTACATATGGGAACTCTGGGATGTATGTGTTGTAAATATATTCCTCCAGTTTGTGGCTTGCCTTTGTAGCGATTTTTGATAAAAGAGTTCTCAGTGTCAATAAAAGGCAATTTATCAGTTTTTTCTTTATGATTACTGCTTTTAATGAACTATTTAAGAAACCCTTCCTTCCTCATGATCATGAAGATACATTCCAGTGTTTTCTTACGTTTTTCTCAAATTGATTTTTGTCTATTTGTGAAGCAGGATTCAAGGAACTTTTTTTGTAAGGATGCGTGTTGCTCAGCACCATTTAGGGGAAAGTCTGGCTGTTCCTCACTGCCCTGACGAGTGAGGCGGCATCTTGCTCTTGTGTGATCACACATATGAGGATCTGTTTCAGGACCCTATCCAGCTACATTGGTCTACTTATCTACCTGACCCCAATACCACACTGTCATAATCACTGTATATTTAGAGTAAGTCTTAAAATATGGGATGTAAGTCCTCTAATTTTGTTTTTCTTGATCAAGGTTGTCTTGGCTCTTCTTAAATCATTCATATTTCCAAATAAATTTCAGAATCGGTTTGTTAATTCCTCCCATCCCAGCCCCCTGCATGGGTTTTGATCAGAATTGCATCGCACCTATAGATTAGTTTGGGAAGAACAAACATCTCTACGTCACAGTCTTCTCATTCATGAACATGGTCTCATGCACACACACAATTATTAGGTCATTAATTTCTCTCTTTCATTTTATAATTTTCAGTTTAGGGTCTTCAAAGTATTTTGTCATATTTTTTCTGGATATTTGTTATTTGATGGTGCTGTAAACTGCATTTTTAAAATTCCACTTTATGGCTGTTGCTAGTACAATGAAATCAATGGACTTTTGTATATTGATCTGGTACCTAGTGATCTTGCTAAACTCACTTAATTACGATACTTTCTTTATGATTTTTAAAATTTTCTATGTGCACAATCAGATCATCAGTAAATAAAGAGTTTTACTTCTTCCTTTCTGATGTTATGCCTTTTGTTTCTTTTTCCTGTACTATTAAACTAAAGAGACCTTTCAGTCAATACTGAATGGAAGTCACGATAGTGGGCACTTTTGTCTCACTCTGATTTCAAGGAGAACACTTTCAATACGTAACTGTAAAGAAACATATTAGCTTTAGGATTTTTGCAGATAAACTTCACCAACTTAAGGAATTTGTTTCTTTTCCTAGTTTGCTAAAAAAATAATAACATGGACAAGTATTGACTTTCATCAATGTTTTGCATGTAGTGAGATGATCTTATAGTTTTTCTTCTTTCTTCTATAAATGTGATTAAATTTACCAATTGACTTTTTTTCCTTATTGTGGTAAAACACACCTATAAAATTTACTGTCTTAACCATCTTCAGGTGTACAGTTCAGTAGGACACTCATATTACTGTGCAGCCATCACTGTCATCCATCTCCAGAACTCTTCATCTTTTAAAAATGAAACTCTGCCCCATTAAACACTAACTGCCCATTTCTTCCTCCCCGAGCCCCTGGCACCCACCGTTCTACTTTCTGTCTCTGATTTGACGACTCTAGGCACCTTATGTAAAATGGGATCATACAGTGTTTGCCCTTTTGTGATGGCCTCATTTCCCTCAGCGTACTCCCTCAAGTTTCATCATGCTGCAGCGTGTGTCAGAACTTTCTCCCTTTCTAAGGCTGAATGATAGTCCACTGATTGACTTTTGAACGTTAAGTCAAACTGAGTTCCTGGAATAACTGAAATAAAAGTTATCTAGAAGGATCCAAAAGCAGATTTAAGAAGGGAGAAGAAAGAATCAGTGAACCTGAAGATAGGAAAATGGAAATTATCAAGTCTGAGGAAGAGAAAAAAAATACGGAGGTGAACAGAGCCTAAAGGACCTGGGACACCATCAAGTGGGCCAACATATGCATCGTGGGAGGCCCAGAAGGAGACAAGAGAGAGAAAGGGGCAGAGAGAACACATGAAGATATAATGGCCAAAAACTTCCCAAATTTGATAAAAGACATAAATATAAACATCCAAGAAACTCAACAGACTCCAATAAGATGAACTCCAAAGAGACTTACATGGAGACACATTATAGTCAAACTTTCGAAAGAGGAGAGAATCTTGAAAGCAGCAAGAGGGAAGCAAATCGTCACATACAAGGGATCCTCAATAAGATCAACAGCAGATTTCTCATCAGAAACTTTGGAGGCCAGCAGACAGGGGGCCAATATATTCGAAGTGCTGCAAGAAAAAAACTGTCAGCCAAGAATCCCACATCCAGTAAAACTGTCCTTCAAAAGTGAGGGGGAAATTAAGACATTTCCAGATAAACAAAAGCTGAGGGACTGTGTTACCATAAGGACTTCCCTGCAAGAAACACTCCAGGGAGTCCAGCAGTGTGAAATGAAAGGACGTTTAGACACTAACTCGAAGCCGAATGGAAAAATAAAGATTTCAGTAAAAGTAAATAGATGGGCAACTATAAAACCTGGTGTTACTGTTACAATGGTTTGTAACTTCACTTTTTGTTTTCTTCATTATTTAAGAGACTAACACATTTTAAAAACAATT